ACCTGCTGAAGGGAATGGTGTATGAGCGTTTGGGAAGGGGAGTCAGGGAGACCCCAGAAGTGCAGGTGAGGGGGACTGAAGGTTGACAAAAAATTCCTCTTTCCCACCAATTTGGAGGATTGAGATGGAGAATTCCCAGGGATCACCATGTCCCACTACATGGTGATCCCTGGGAATGTGGTACCCTCCCCCAACCCATGTGACCCTACAAATGTTTTACCCACTGGTAAACTAGAAACTTAGTGGAGCAGTGAATTATCCAATAATTAATTCTCGATGATTCGTATGATTGGACACTGTCTGTCTGAGTGCGATGGTGTGCTCACAGAGATTTTATGCCCATCAGAGCAGAAATAGCATCAGGGTTAGCACAAAAAAATGTGGGAGGCCTTGTCAAAGGTCTGGAGATTGCGAACAATGGTCTGAAGTAGAGGTTTGAGTGGCCTGTAAAGAAGGCGTTAGCTAGGCCCCATAAAGCAGCCCCTGCATGACCAGCTCCGGGCTATGACTTAGGGGCCAATGCCTGTCCAGATCAGAATGGGGCCTGAGGCCACTTCTCTTTCACTGTCCCTGCCTGACCTAGGCACGGCATTGGAAGCAATTTTCCATGAATGAGGTGAATGAAGGTGGCTGTGGCCCTGACCCTGCTCCACTCTGAGCTGCTGCCAGATCCCACCAGGTTCCTTTCCCCTTGGCACACTTTGTGCTGAAGCCCATGAGTGGGATCCACCTGCATCTCAAGAAGTTCCAATAATACTGGTGAGGCCAAGGACAAGCTCTGAGGGCCTCCTGCTGCTACCTGTCACCAGCTCTGGTCCCTGACTGTTGCCCCAACATCTTGCTTTCTATCTTTTTACCTGCCCTTCTCCCACCTGCCTGCTGTCCTGCCCCCTGTCTGCTGGTCCTCTGTCTCTCACCTACCTCCAGGCTCTCTACCTGCTTCTCTTTATAACTCTCACCCTCCTGCCTGTATCTCTATCTCCTGGTCACCTGCCTGCCTACAACCCTGTCTGTCCTTTACCGATCATTTTCCCTTGTGCTGTTTGTTTGTCCATCTATGAGTTTCCTACTGTTGCTCTAAAAAATGACAACAACCTCAGTGGCTTTGCATGACAGAAATCTAGTTCCTTATGGTTCTGAAGATCAAAGTTCTAACATGGGTTTTCTTGAGATGCATCCAAGGTGATTGTGCTGTAACTACATATCCAGGGCAGTAGTGTGCCTCTTCCTTTTGTCATTTCCATTACTTAGAGTTGCTTTGCTGGGCTTCAGGACCCATGGTCAATATTCAAATGCTGCAACACCTTTAAATCTCTCTTCTTCTGTCCTTACATTAAATCTCTAGCACAAGGACCTTTGTGATTACAATGTGTTCACTATGATAATACAGGACATCATAATCATTCTCCCAGGTTGAGGATGTGTACATTGTGTGAGCCATATTCAGCCTAACACATTCCTTCCTATCACCCAATTTTTGTATCTGTGTCTCTCCTGTACATCTCTTACCCAA